TGAAAGTGTTGGGAGGTATGGTTGGAATGGGTACGCCATTCAGCAAAAGATTAGTGGCAAGCCAGGCCAAGTCCTGGGGTATGCTTACACACAGCATCATGCGTTTGCTGTTTGATTATTTAGGAGCAGACAGGCATTTTTGGAGATTGTCTTAGAGTAAAGGAAGTATTCACTAGTCACTGACGGGAAAAGCGGACCGTTGCATGTTCCATGAACCCACAAACGAAGGCCTGATCCATGAGCAGGACTAGACGGGTGTGGAAACGAAATTCCTACATTGCCCCTATCCTTAATAGATTTTGCAAACGTAGACCGAATCTTAAGCACAGCACTGGGTTCCTACCGAAATGATTTGCCTTTCAGCACAACATAGCTCCGTCTTCCGTCACTCAGGACCATCAGCCGATGACCAGCTATAAGGTCACGAAGGACAAAATACCACATAAGGAAGTTGCTCCAATATCTATCATGATTACAAAAAACCGGTATTTATGTTTCGCCTCGAACCCTCGGTCCGCAATCTTCTCTGAATGTCATGTAGACATAAGCAACGAATCAGCAAAAGGTGTTGCCAGCAAGCACTAGGAACACTTGCATGAACGTTTTGGCTTAAAGGCCATCACTCCGTACTCTCATCCGGACCGTAGGTACTGACGCATTGAAGGTTTGCTCCTGGCTTTGATGGGTAACCGAATGTCGAATTCTTATCTTCCGTCGACGTAAGACTTCATCTTTGCTTTTCTTCGTGCTCTTCTACCTGCCAGGTCTTTAGGTTTTCCTACTACAACCTGCTACAGCAAAGATCTGGTAATGCATCCACTAAGCCTGGGTGGTTACTCTTATATACCCCAGAGAATGCACACATTGTTCTTCAAAATATGTCCTATTGAAACTTCGGTAGTCGATTTTGCGGAATTATTTGCATTTTAACTAAGTTTGGTCTTTTTGTATATTATTGGCTTCTTTGCTATTGAGACGAAATTATGCGCCACGCGTGATGATTGGGTCTGTCAAAAGCGAACACAAAATCTACATGTTGGTGACCTACTTTGTGGAGAGGAGTGGAACTATATTTAAAATATTACACCCTCTTAACCTCCACTGTTGATGATTTCTGTTCCACGAGTAGAGATCTGTTTTTGATTGGAATCAGATGCCTCGTATAACTGCCTGTTCACCCAAGATGGAGGGTTCGTTTGTGAAAAAAATTAAAATTCATCATAAAACTTCAAAGAATGAAAATGATGATTAATATTAATTTACGGATAAAAACACTCTTAGTTGTTCAGTGGTTTTCAATGGATACGCTAGGCATTTGCTCCCTTCATTCTTGAGGTAACCAACTGAACGGAACCTAAGACTTTGCCTTTCTTTTTTGTAGCGGGCGAGAGCTTAGCTGAATGCAGCCGGGTTTGGAAAAGAGAAGAGCGCCTAAAACCACTCGATGGACGAAGGGGTCGCGTGGACCAGCGCAGCATTGGCAATAAACCTCTGGATCTCGCCTCCCTATTTCACTTCGCGGAAACCAAGGATATTATTAGTAAATTTGACGAGGAATTAGGTATGTAAAATGTTGAATAATTTTTTCATTTGTTTCCGCTATAAAATCTGGAGCCGCTTGAGTGATACGATCAAGGTTCGAAAGGTTATCTCAAACTGAATCTTATCATAGTAATTCTAAAGTTATCAGTGTACAGAAACAATATTCTGTCCAAAATAACGACATATTTGATAGCTTTGGGTAAATATGCAAAAAAATATATACGTACACAGGTGGACTAACGAAGAGCTATCAGTCATCTTACATCTTGCACTAATGTCCAGTGCCAGCAGGAAAAATGAGTATTTCGTTCCGAAATCTAGTTAGTCGTGTCCTTGCGGAGCTTCTCATCTCAGCCTAGGTAGAACTGAAGTCATAAGCTTGATCCTCTGGCCGACTAGTGCAGCGGTATGAAGGTATTCATTTAATTTGGCAGTAAAGCGGAAGGATGTGCGTTCGTATCCCACAGCTGAATTGTCTAACGCGGCCACTTAATGGGTTGTCGAGTTTACCAGTTTTGGGTCGTACAGATTCGAGAGAGGCCGAGGAATTATTTACACAATGTTCTCGGGCGTCAGCTGATCAACACCCAGCTGAATTTGTCCAGGTCATGAAGGTTTAGACCCAAGTTTGTCATACTCTCGGATAGATTTTGTGAAAAATAACAGCAGTTCATGCATTCCCAGCGCTTTATTACGGCCTTTGTTACAATACCTCTTAATTCGCCTCACCTATAATATACACGCGGAAAACTTATGGACAGTATAGTGGAAAATATGATGACATTTTAGAAATTATTCACCTGCGAGAGACGATATTGCCCCAACCGCGTCAAGCAACGACCAGATTATTCCGTTTTTATCATCGGGGTGATACTTTAACGTAAAAGAGGCATTGAGTATTGGGTTAGAGCTGATAAATGACTTTCATGATGACCAATAAGTCCAAAAGTGGTCACTGAATTATTTGCCATTTTTCCTCTCGGTAGGTTTAGTCGCCAAGAGAAGGTGTTGGGTTGGCGTTTCAAGGTCGGATATGTTCCACGCTATAACTACTGCCCTTCGAACGAAGG